CACCATGTTGGCCAGCCTGATCTTGAACTCCTGACCTCAAGTGATGTGCCCACATTGGCCTCCCAAAGTGTTGAGATTACAGGTGTGAGCCACTGTGCCTGGCCCTCATCTCTATAATAAAATTAAAAATTAAAAAATAGGGGCCCAGGGAGTGGGGCTGCCTGGGCTTCAGCCTTGCCTCTACCACCTACATTGTGTGACCCTGTTGCAGCTCCCCGATCGCTCTGCAAAGCATCGGGATGCTAATGCCTGGAACATTCCGGAAGATGAGTTCATCCGTGCAGAGTGTGGAGAACAGTGCTGGGGCTCAATAAAAGCTCAGGAAGCGTTCACGCAGCTGTTGCCATGGGGACGTGCAGGCCCTGTGTTGCCAAGTCAGTCGGTTTTCAAGAGAAGCTGGGAGTTTTGATGTGGAAGGTCCCTGCTGTCGAACGTTGGTCCTGAATCCAAAAAGGAAAATGCGAGATGCTGTCAAGTCCACACTGATCACTTTGCTGGACGTGAAGGGGCCCCAGCCAGGGTCTGTAGCCTCTGTTCTGAGACCTAGAAACCGATGGTGGAGCTGCGGACCTGCTTTCTTCCAGGCACTGGCCTGAGGCTGGGGCAGGCGTAGAAATGAATGAGCCCGGCCTTTGCCCTTGGAGAACGCCCAGTCCTGAGGCAGGGCTGAGATTTGCCCTTTAACCCCGACACAAGGAATTATGAGTTTGACATAACTCCTTGGTTGTAGGTGTGAACAAGAAGCAGGGGCCCCGCCTGCACAGGAGACAGTTGCCCTGGCCCCCAAGACCTTTGATCCCATCGTGCCAGGACTTCTTCAAAAGGCTTTTTTTTTTGAGACTAAGCTTCACCCTGTCGCCCAGGCTGGAGTGCAGTGGCACTGTCTTGACTCACTGCAACCTCTGCCTCCCGGGCTCAAGTGATTCTCTTGCCTCGGCCTCCTGAGTAGCTGGGATTACAGGCGTGCACGACCACACCTGGCTAATTTTTTTTTTTTTTTTTTTGTATTTTTAGTACAGACTGGGTTTCACAATTTTGGCCAGGCAGGACTCGAACACCTGACCTCGTGATCCGCCCACCTTGGCCTCCCAAAGTGCTGGGATTACAGGCATGAGCCACCATGCCTGGACCAGAAATGTCTGTTTTGCAGGACTCTTTCCCACTCTGATGTTGGCATCTTGTAAATTCTGTATCTGCAGCCCCAAGGGCAGGGCTTGCTCTAAGAACTTGTTGGGGCCGGGCGCACACCTGTAATCCCAGCACTTTGGGAGGCCAAGGCAACTGGGTCACCTGAGGTCATGAGTTCGAGATCAGCCTTGCCAATGTGAAGAAACCCCATCTCTAATAAAAATACAAAAAATTATCCAGGCCTGGTGGCACAAACCTATACTCCCAGCTACTCAGGAGGCTGAGGCAGTTGAATCACTTAAACCCTAGAGGCAGAAGTTGCAGTGAGCCGAGTTCTCACCACTGTACTCCAGCCTGGGCAACAGAGCAAGACTCCATCTCAAAAAAAAAAAAATAAGTGAACTTGGGCAGGCCAGGCCCTTTGCACATGGCATCTCCTTGAAGCACCCCCCCACCCCTACTTATCATCCCACTTTACAGTTGAGGGAGCTCAGGTTCAGAGAGAGGCAGGGATGTGGCCCATGCCCCCAGACTCATCCCATACTCCCCTCCCCTACCCTCCCTCTGTCCTAGCCCTAGAGGGCTTCAGTTCTTTGCATTTGAATCTCACAAGCCAGGCACTGTGGCTCACGCCTGTAATTCCAGCACTTTGGGAGGCCCAGGTGGGGGGATCATGAGGTCAGGAGTTTGAGACCAGCCTGACCAACATGGTGAAACCCCATCTCAACTAAAAATATAAAAATTAGCTGGGCATGGTGGTGTGAGCCTGTAGTCCCAGCTGCTCAGGAGGCTAGGCAGGAGAATCACTTGATCCCGGGAGGCGGAGGTTGCAGTGAGCCAGGATCGCGCCATTCCACTGCAGCTGGGGCGACAAAGTGAGACTCCATCTCAAAACAAAACAAAACAAAAAACTACTCACTTCTCCTTGCTGTTCCCTCCACCTGAAAATCCCTGCCTGTCCCGGCTCCTCTGGCCACAACTCACAACTTCCATCTGGCCTTCTCTAGCCTCCATTTAGAGTTTTCCCCCATCACCCCTTGTCTGAGAACCCTGTTTCCTCAAGAGCAATGGCCAAAGTCAGTCATGATCTTCCTGTTTACTCCTTGTCTCCCCTAAGCCAGACTCGACTCCATGAGGGCAACTGAACTAATGATTCAATTGAACGGAACAACTGAATTGACCCGAGTGATTTAATTAATGATTTGATTGAATTAACAATCCAATTAATGATTCATTTGTATTGATAGATTAATGATTAACAATCCAATTAGGCCGGGCGTGGTGGCTCACGCCTGTAATCCCAGCACTTTGGGAGGCCGAGGCGGGTGGATCACGAGGTCAAGAGATCGAGACCATTCTGGTCAACATGGTGAAACCCCGTCTCTACTAAAAATACAAAAATTAGCTGGGCATGGTGGCGCATGCCTGTAATCCCAGCTACTCAGGAGGCTGAGGCAGGAGAATTGCCTGAACCCAGGAGGCGGAGGTTGCGGTGAGCCGAGATCGCGCCATTGCACTCCAGCCTGGGTAACAAGAGCGAAAACTCCGTCTCAAAAAAAAAAAAAAAAAAAAAAAAATTAATTTACTGAATTAATGATTCATTTGCATTGATTGATTAATGATTGAATTGATGTATTGGATTGACACTACTTCTAATCTGTAGGTTTCAGCCCTACAGGGTCCTTTGAGCACCTCTCTGCTGGTGTGGAGACGAGAAACTAGAAATAAAAGACACAGACACACAGAGAAAAGAGAGTTTGGGCCCAGGGGTCCACTGCCAACCAAACGTGGAGTTGATTGTCCAAACACTCTGACTTTTATTGAGTACAAAGCTGGGGTCAGGGTAGTTAGAGCGTGGCACTGGTGGTCAGTGATAGGGTCAAGTACATCATGTGTCCTATAGGTAGGGGCCCAAGGCTTTCCAGTAGAATAATGCATCAGCACTTTTCCATACTTGTCAAGAAAGAACAAAGACATTAAGATTCATATTCTTTTACTGATTGTATCTTCTAAGAAAAAAGGAACCAGGTGCAGAAGCGGAACATGAGAGTGGACATGGAATGTGACCACTGAAGCACAGCATCACATAGGCTGCCGGTCTGCCTGACAGCCGTCAGGCCCACCACAAGAGCTTGGAGGAGCGGAGTTTTCTCCTAGCTCCCCAGAGGAAGGAGACATCTTGACCATCTTGAACATCTTCTTCCCTAGCTGGCTAAACAGCGGGCGCTTTCCCGGCGCCCTCCAGCTGCCCTTACATGGGCCTGACAGACCGAAAAGCATTAGTAAAAGAACTAAGATCACCTATGAATAACTAAGATCACATATGAATAAGATCACCTATGAATAACAACTATTGTTATATTTCTAGTTATTTTCTTCTTCATTATATGGGAATAGGCTGAGGTTTCTGACTCCTGCCTTGGAACTTATGGGGTCTCCCCCCTACACTAATCCACTCCAGGAATTAAAAAAAAAAAGTTTACACCACAGATTATTTCTGCCTCTTTCACTCCTATATGTCGAGGAGTTGGCAGTTCTTGACATTTAGTGGTGGATGAGGAATAAGTGAAACCAGACACATCGATGGTGTCTGTACCTCATGGCCCAACTTTTGTGTCTTGCTCCCCTTCCCTTTGCGTAGCCAACTCCTATGCATCCCTCAGTGGCCAACTGAAACCTCCCCTCTTCTCTGAGCCCTCAGAGCCCCGCTGTGCTTCTCCTGTTCCTTCCTGGGTTGTAGATTCCCATTTTATGAGTCTCCTCCACGACACTGTAACCCCCAGAGGACAGAGAGCTGGTTTGATAGATTCACCTGGCGGAGCCCGGAACCCAGAAGCGTGCTTGAGTATTTCCCAACGAGAGCAATGAATGGTTGTGCTGCGAGCATGCGCAATTGTGTTACCGCCATGCTTGAGCGGTGTGTGCACGCCTGGAATGGGGCAGGGGAGCTTGCACCTCCCTCCCGTCCTCTAGAGCCTCCTTCCCTTCCCCTTAGTAAGTCAGCCAGCCACACGCGCGACGTTACTCTTGTCCTGGGGCCTCAGAGCCCTGCCCATCTGAGGCAGCTTGGCTTTGCAGAGACCCATCCCACCAGCAGCCCTTGGGGTGGTCGCACCCCGATTCCGCCCAGGCTCTGACCCCTCCTGGCTCGGCTCAACGTCACAAGGGTCCCCACCCCGGTCATTTTGTGGGAATGACGGGGTCCACCCCTTCTGGGCAGGTAGAGGAAATGAACCCCAAACAAGTCCACGGGGAGCCAAGCAACAGTTCGACTGGACCCGAGTAGGCCTCTGTTGCTATGGTGACGCGGCCTTCTAGGCCCCAACGTCCCGAGCGGCATGGCGCATGCGCAAAGCGCCTGGGAGCCCGTAGGGACTACCTGCTTTTTTTCCCACCCAGGATGCCCCGCGGTCCTCGGGTGTGACGTCACGAAGGAGGGCGGTCCCACATTTGATGACTGCGCTATATAAAGGAGCGCCAGCGACAGAGGATGGTTAGTTTAGCTCAGACTCGGCCTTGTCGCTGCGTCTGAAAAGGGACCGGGGTGGCTCTTTTGAGGTGGTCATAGACGCCGAGGAACATAAGTGACGGCGCATTGAGGTGGCCACAGCCGCTTAGAAGCTTGCCATCGCGACGCGGCCGCCAGAGGGTTTCGCTTTCGGGTTAGGCGGCCGCGGAGGCGTAGACCGAATATCCTGAGCAGCTCGTCCGGTTACACTTTCCCAGTGCCAGAGGCACCTAAGGTTGGACTCCTCACACGGGGACCGGAACAGAGAGACCAGACACCGGCCGGCGGCTTCCCCGAGATCGAGGGACGCACTAGCCAGGGGAGAAGAAAGGAACCCGGGTCGGACCAGATCGGAACCACTGACCATTGCCCATGGCGGCCCTCGTGAGTGTGGATTTGGCGGGGTTGGGGGTCCCGGCGGCGACCTCGGCGGCACCTTACTCACCGTCCGCTTCCTCTGTCCGCAGGGCCCCAGCAGCCAGAATGTCACTGAATACGTCGTTCGAGTTCCGAGGTAAATTCCCCAACCCCATCTCCCACTCCTCTCCACCCCGCAAAAATGAAAACCTTTACGGTCTTAGCCTGGCGTTTCTGGCCCTGTCTGTGGGTCTCCCTCCAGAACGGGGGAGACTTGGAGGGCAGGGCGGCGATTAAGCTGAGGCTTCTCTGGAGGCAAACACTGCTTTTTGTATGAATGAGTGCATTAATACACAGCACGATTCAGCCTCCTGGCCTAACGTTCGAGAGAATATGATGCCGTGATGCCCAGGCTGTAGCCGTAAGGACATATTCCTCGTCCTGTTTCAAAATGGGCAGGCTGCCTTTCCTTTCCAGGCCTTTGTACATCCTGTTCCCTCTGCCATGAGTGCCTCCTCTCAACCCCTAAGCTGTGACTCTCCTGGCAGAATTCTTGTTGATTCTGCAAAACTCAGCTCCAGTATCTTCTTCCTCCAGGAAGCACTCCCTGACTGTCCTCCCTCCTCCCCAAGGCTGAGTTCCCAATAATCGCCACATCTTGGGTTTCCCCCAGTCTTTGTTCCTCCATTTGTTCTTCGTCTGCGTGCCGTTAAGAGGGGATGGGTCTAGTTTCTCTGGCAGACTGGGAATTCTTGCAGTCTTCCGTATTCAGAGTTGACAGGCAAAACAGACTGAATGAACTTGGGTGGGTTTGTTGAGTGACTGAATTAATGATTCAGTGGAATGGAATGATCGAATTAATGATTCAGTTGAATGGAACGATTGAGTTAATGATTTGATTGAATTAATGATTCAGTTGAATGGAACGATTGAGTTAATGATTTGATTGAATTAATGATCCAATTGAATGACTGACTGTATTAATGATTTGTTCACATTGATTAAATTAGTGATTGAATTGAATTGATGGATTGGTGCTGTCTCTTCTAATCCACTCTAGGAATACAACCAAAAAGTATAACATCATGGCTTTTAATGCAGCTGATAAAGTCAACTTTGCCACGTGGAATCAGGTAAGTGCCTGGGTCCTGGGGGTCGGGGGCTGGGGTGGTGAGAGAACCTGACCCTGACCTTGGTGGCTGTAATAGTTGCTTAGCTGTCATAGTAACTAAGTATTAATTTTCTCACTTTTCCCAAGTGAAGATAAGGTAGATGACAAAGAGTTGGGTGCAATAGTTCGCACCTGTAATCTTAGCACTTGGGAGGCCGAGGCAGGAGGCTTGCTTAAGGCCAGGAGTTCAAGAACAGCCTCAGCAATATAGGAAGACTCCATCTCTACCAAAAATAAAATAATTAACTGGATGTGGTAGTGTGCATCTGTAGTCCTGCTCAGGAGGCTGAGGCAGGAGGATCACTTGACCCCAGGAGTTGAAGGCTGCAGTGAGCTATGATTATACTACTGCGCTCCAGCCTGGTGACAGAGTAAGACCTGTCTCAAAAAAAAAAAAAAAAAAAGATGGCAAAGGCCCAGGCCAAGCTCCTGGGTGTCCCTGTAAGTTAGGTTTGGTAGGACCACAGGAGGCCATTCCTTAAAGGAAAACATTTAGAATTTGTGCCCACTGATGACCGTTTTTGCCAAGGTTTATCTGGGCAAGGGAGGGGACTGGGCTAGGGCCTTCCCCACAGCCCCTGCCATCAGAGGCTCTAGAAAGGACTTTGGGAGCCATTAAAGCATCCTCCACGGAGAAGTTGTAATGTGATCTGGCTGCTGTGGGGAGGCAAACTGTGGGTTTGAGGGTGGATAAAGGGAGACCAGGGTGGAAGCAACCGGACTGACTGGTCTAGGTGAGTCCTGGTGGGGACCTGGAGGCCGTGGAGGTGATGTGATGTGGCTGGATTCTAGAGTGTTTTGGAAATTGTATACATGGCCCTTAAAGCAAGAGCGTAAAGGTAATTGGGACCTTACTGGTCACATAGGTCATGATTAATGGTTACATTTGTAGAGATTTTGGTGCCTACTGTCAACAAGTTTGGCACAATGAGTTTCTTTTTATTTATTTATTTATTTATTTATTTATTTATTGTGATGGTGTTTCACTCTTGTTGCCCAGGATGGAGTGCAATGGCACGACCTCAGCCCACTGCAACCTCCAACTCCCAGGTTCAAGCCATTCTCCTGCCTCAGCCTCTCATATAGCTGGGATTACAGGTGTCCACCCCCACTCCCACCTAATTTTTGTATTTTTGGTAGAGATGGGGTTTCACCATGTTGGTCAGACTGGTCTCGAACTCCTGACCTCAGGTGATCCACCCACCTCGGCCTCTCAAAGTGCTGGGATTACAGGTGTGAGCCACTGTGCCTGACCTTTTTATTTTCTTTTCTTTTTCTTTTTTTTTTTTTTTGAGACAGAGTTTCGCTCTTGTTACCCAGGCTGGAGTACAATGGCACAATCTCAGCTCACCGCAACCTCCGCCTCCTGGGTTCAGGCAATTCTCCTGTCTCAGCCTCCTGAGTAGCTGGGATTACAGGCACGCACCACCATGCCCAGCTAATTTTTTGTATTTTTAGTAGAGACGGGGTTTCACCTTGTTGACCAAGGTTGGTCTCGATCTCTTGACCTTGTGATCCACCCGCCTCGGCCTCCCAAAGTGCTGGGATTACAGGCTTGAGCCACCGCGCCCGGCTATTTCTTTATTTTCTTGAGATGGAGTCTTGCCCTGTTGCCCAGGCTAGAGTGAAGTGATATGATCTGTCCTCACTGCAACCTCTGCCTCCTGGGTTCCAAGTGATTCTCCTGCCTCAGCCTCCTGAGTAGCTGGGATTACAGGTGTGCGCCACCACACCCAGCCAATTTTTGTACTTTTAGTAGAGACAGGGCTTCACCGTGTTGGTTAGGCTGGTCGTGAACTCCTGACCTCGTTATCTGCCTGCCTCAGCCTAATAGAGGTAGGGTCTCACTATATTACCCATGCTGGTCTTTTTAAAAATTTTTTTTAAAGACAGTGTCACTCTGTCACCTAGGCTGGTGTACAGTGGCATGATCTCAGCTCACTGCAATCTTTGCCTCCCAGGGGTTCAAGCCATTCTGGTGACAGGCTGGTCTTAAACTCCTGAGCTCAAGTGAGCCTTGGCCTCCCAAAGTTCTGGGATTATAGGCGTGAGCCACAGCACAAAGAGTTTTGATATGCATGCATTCTGGAGATGTATAGAAATTTTAGTTACACATTTTTTGAAAAGAAGCCTGGAACCAGGCCGGGCGCGGTGGCTCATGCCTGTAATCCCAGCACTTTGGGAGGCCGAGGCGGGTGGATCACGAGGTCAAGAGATCGAGACCATCCTGGTCAACATGGTGAAACCCCGTCTCTACTAAGAATACAAAAATTAGCTGGTCATGGTGGCGCACGCCTGTAGTCCCAGCTACTAGGGAGGCGGAGGCAGGAGAATTGCTTGAACCCAGGGGGCGGAGGTTGCGGTGAGCCGAGATCGCGCCATTGCACTCCAGCCTGGGTAACAAGAGCGAAACTCCGTCTCAAAAAAAAAAAAGAAGCCTGGAACCAGATGCCTACTATAGATGATAGGGAAGTCTAATTACTTTTAAATTCCTCAGATAAGGAATTTTGCCTCTGATGGCCTGCTTGACCACGAAGTGGTCTTTTTTTTTTTTTTTAATTGCATTTTAGGTTTTGGGGTACTTGTGAAGAACATGCAAGATTGTTGCTTAGGTACACACGTGGCAGTGTGATTTGCTGCCTTCCTCCCCTTCACCTTTATCTGGCATTTCTCCCCATGCTATCTCTCCCCAACTCCCCACCCCCTGCTGTCCCTCCCCTATTTTCCCCCAACAGACCCCAGTGTGTGGTGCTCCACTGCACCTGGCCTAAGGTGTTTTTTTCCAGTTCTGTGAAGAAGGTCATTGGTAGCTTGATGGGGATAGCATTGACTCTGTAAATTACTTTGGGCAGTATGGCCATTTTCACGGTATTGATTCTTCCTAAGCATGAACGTGAATGTTTCTCCATTTCATTGAGCAGTAGTTTGTAGTTCTCCTTAAAGAGGTCCTTTACGTTCCTCGTTAGTTGTATTCCTAGGTATTTTATTCTCTTTGTAGCAATTGCGAGTGGCAGTTCGTTCTTGATTTGGCTCTCTTTAAATCTGTTACTGGTGTACAGGAATGCTTGTGATTTTTGCACGTTGATTTTATATCCTGAGACTTTGCTGCAGTTGCTTATCAGTTTCAGGAGATTTGGGGCTGAGACGATGGGGTGTGCTAGATATATAATCATGTCGTCTGCAAATAGAGACAACTTGACTTCCTCCTTTCCTATTTGAATACGCTTTATTTCTTTTTCTTGCCTGATTCAGGCAAGGTGGTGTTTTTTGTTTGTTTTTTGGCTCAGGTGGTCTTTTTTGTTTGTTTGTTTTTTGTTTTTGAGACAGAGTCTTGCTCTGTCACAAGGCTGGAGTGCAGTGGCGCCATCTTGGTTCACTGCAAACCTCCGCCTCTTGAGTTCAAGTGATTCTCCTGCCTCAGCTTCCTGAGTAGCTGGGACTAGAGGCGCCCGCCACCATGCCTGGATAATTTTTCCGTTTTCAAAAGAGATGGGGTTTTACCATGTTAGCCAGGATGGTCTCGGTCTCTTGACCTCATGAACCACCTGCCTCATCCTCCCAAAGTCCTGAGATTACAGGCCCGAGCCATTGTACCCAGCCAGGTCTTTTTCTCTTTAATTTTAATTTGGACATAATCTCAAGTTTTCAAGTTGCAAAAATAGACACAGTGCAAGGCTGGCCCAAATTCCCTTTACCCAGATTCACCAAGGGCTACCATTCTCCTTTGTTGCCCAGTGGGAAGTTGGTTTTGAGCATCTAGAGCCCGGCCTAGCACGAGGACGGGCATTCCTGGATGGGGGCACTGCCCAAGCACAGCCAGGGACCTTGAGAGTCTTTGCTTCTTGC